TGCAATTTATGATGACATGAATATTTGAAGATGTGAACATGAGGGAGATATGCAGATGTGAAGATAATTGTGCAAATGATGATGATGATGATGATGATGATGATGATGATGATGATGATTCTCATATTTTTGCGACTTTTTTAAAAGAAGAACCCTTCGCTCAGGCGCTCTCGGGAACAACATTCTAACAACGTACCAAGTATCTGATGATATCTTATGCGTATCTTATGTATTCATATACATGTTGCTCCGGCTAAGAGGCTACAAGTAAGAGGATCTAGGAGAGTATCTCCCATGCACGCAGAAACACTTCGAGGAGAAGACCGTCAAGGCCCATGCCGATCTCAGCGGTGTCTAGCCTGCTGCGCCCGCCAGGGTCAATGGGGAAGAAAAAGAACACTCGACACAGCCAGCAACCTGCTTTGCCGACTCGGCTAACCTTGTTTTGGCACAAAAAAGGTGTAAAATATTGTAAAATGGTGTTCGGCAATCTCCTGACTGTGTGTGAAGGGCAAAAACCTGGAAACATGTGCGATTTTGCTTGTTATTTTAATGTTGGATGTTCGCATGTTGAGATTGTTGAGGATGCGAACGCACGGCTCGAACGTCAGGCTCGAACTCACTCCAAGACATGTGCAAGCAATGGCATCAACGGCGTCCCGTTGAACGCGCACGAACACGATGGGGGGGCATTCAGCTCGGACGTCTTCTGCGGCGGACATCTTCAGCTGCCAGTGGAGGACCTGGCCTAGGTCTCTTCCGACGCAGAACTTCAGAACGGCCGGAATGGCGAGCGAGAACTGGAGGACCTGGGCGAAAAATCTTCTTTTAATTTTAAAGTTCTAATCTTTTTGTGCGCTGCCAGCAAGAGTGTTGCGTTCATATTCTGGCTGCGGTTTTGGTTTGCAGCTGTGGTTGTGGCATGGTAATAATAGAAGCCCATGCAAAATGGACACAAAATCACCAAGCACAAGAAGCAAGTTTCTGCACATCGCCAGTCAACTCTCCACTCTTGCTTGATGAGAGCTTGTTGATTCAGCTCATGGTACACAGTCAGCTCCCCACCGGTGATCGGGCCAGACCGTGTGTCTGCTGCATAGGCGCCAGCCGCCTAGACTCCGTCACCGCTTTGTGGGAACCAACGGAGTCGCAGCAGTGACCGGTGGAATGGGCGGCATCCGACGCTGAGGACCGAGCACGCTCGGTGACCAAATGGATTGGACAGATTGGAGAGATTGCAGACATTGCTCGGCTCCAAGTGGCTCAAAGACAAGGGGTTGTGGCCAATTTCAAATGATTTCGACCGAGCACCAAATTGCTTCCGCACCGGCCAGGCACCGAATCGAAACCCCCCTCCCTCAGCGGGGCGGGACGACGAGCATTGGATCTCTGTTTCTGACGGTGCGAAGAGCTCGGCCTGGCGGAAAAAGGGGTTGATGGGTGAATCCGACTCAGCAGCCGGCTCGCACGACCGGTCCGCACGTTGGAGGTGCACGCTTCGCACGGTCCCACCAGTTGGCACGGTTCGTGTTCCGGTCAGTGACGTGGATGTTCTGCTATGGCGTCCCGGGGGCACAGCGTCCTGTGGATCCACAGCTTCGAACCGGAAGGAACGGCCGCCCGTCCGACACGGTCCGGTCGTCGCTGAGTTCGTGAACGGGGCATCGCATCCGCGGAGGGTGAGTCTGTCGTGTCATTCACTCCACGTGTGTTTTCCCACAAGAGAACCTCCCCGGTGCAGCTGCCCAGGCTTTAAGGCTCTCTTTTTGTCCACTCGGCAAACCACGAGCAAGTGTCCAGCCATCGGCAGAAGCGATCGATCAGTCCATACTTGACTGCATCCGTACTACCCCATACACGAGCATGTAACTACTGGAGTTGAAGAACATGATTGGAGGGCTTTGATCAATGAGTCTCGTCATACGCATGCCATATTTATTATACAAACACTTTTTGAAACCCACTGGTGCCGACATGGCTTCGCTAACGCTTGACCCTTCGGGTGAAGCAGGGCCCAAGTTCTGTGCAGTTGCTGAAGATGACCAAACCACACCAATGCCAGAATCTGTGAACCAATGCCATGTTGCTACGTACTTGTAACAATCAAAGGACCATTGAGAGGAAACTTAAGTCAGCACAACATCCGAATCTACTCAACATCAACCTCGCTTGAAGAGTGCATGGCATTAGATGTCATCGTGAAACGCATTGAAACGCTAATTTCACACCTGATTCGCCTCCTGCAGCTTTACAACCCACATGAAACTCCAGCATGGTCCAACTGCACGGACAGTGGGTCGGTGCAGCGCCCCTCCACACTGCGCTCCGGTCACTCCCAGGCGCTACCGACCGGAGCGCGCCCGCGACCGCGCCGCTACCGAGTGCTCGCCCGGGGGTTCCGCTCAAGGAAGTCCCACCTGCCAGCGCTTCCCGAACGCGCGGGCGTGCCGCCCCAGCAGCGCCCGGGGTCGGATGACAAAGAGAGCTGACAGCTCGACTGCTCAAGCAGTGCCCGGGGCGCTGCTGGGTGGTATGCTCGGTGAAGAGAAGCCTTGAAGATTTGAACCCAACCCAGTGGATCTCAGTTACCTATATACAGAACCAGGGTTTCTAAGGTCTTATGGTTTCGTCTTTGGAACTGGTTACTGGCTATAGTGGTACAGTAACTGGACGCACTGGTCAAGATGATGCCTGGGTACCTCTGGCCAACCACACCGGGGGGCGACAGCGCGAATCGCGTCGAACGGACTGTCCGTTCCTGAGGAACGGGTGGCAGTCCGGCCGATCGAGATCGGCACAGTGGCTCTAACTCAAACATGAGGATGATGTGAAGCTGTTCTCCTATATAACTATTTGCTAGGCTTCCAACCACCATTGATCTAATAACCCTTGACCAAACAACTATTGCGTTTCTACGGATTTTACACTACGAAACGAGGTCAACCATGCTTTACATGGTCAAGCAAAAGGCTAGGGTACTGAGCTTCTATTCAACATATCGCCTTGAGGGATTTGCTACGCCATTGGCTTCTCCCTTGCTGGCCAGACTCTGGCTGCGTGTGAATCATTATTATATAAAGTTAAATTATAACGTATCTTAAATAATTCAACATATCCCTCCAAGTCAATGACCTCGTTAAACTTATTCTTGCAGGGTATATATATTCAACATTATTCAACAATATTCATCATGACTAACATCTATTTACCAGGGGTCACCAAGGGGTGGTTAATGGACACCCCTTAACAGCTAAGGGGCTATAAATAAACACCCGTTGGATCCCCAATCGCATGGTCCTGACAGGACTCGCATGACTCGTCTCGTTGCATCGCATGACTCCCGAGGTTCTCTCGTCGCGGACCGCAGGGCCTGGCCGGATCCCGGATGGGCATCGAGAAGGACCGGTACCTGCGGCGACTGGAAGGCGGCCGCGCGCGACGCGACGGAAGGCGGAACCCCCGCCGGTTCCGTCGAGTTCACGGTGGCTTTTCGGCTATGATGTGAAATTCGAGGTGTGTGACTTTCCATTTCATATTCACCTGAGGCTTCATGTCCTTCAATGAAAAATATAGCCTTAACTATAGTAACTAGTTCCTTAATGACAGAACATGATTTTAAGCTATAGTAACTCAAGCAGTCCGTTCAGTGCTCATCTGACATACTACAGTATATACCAGGACCCTCCCTGCCAGGTCTCCTCTGGTGGCTTTTGCAGACTTAAAAGTCGCAGGTGGTGACCTGTTGGAGGGTGCTGGTAGTTCTATCGAAATAAACACATCCAGATCTGGTTCGTTCGAGGGGTCATGGTCTACTAGTTGAGACCAGAAGGGTATCTCGATGTATCTCGTGCGGTGCACTGGCCCTTCAAAGCCCCCTCCAGCTTTCGAAAAGAAGTGAGACATCCTTCACAGCTCCACCAGTTCCCACACCAAATCATCCAAAAATCTCCGTTTCCCCCATGACCCCTCCCCCAAAGTCCCCTCAATCCAGTCCCCAAACATTCTTCGCCCCGGCCCATGACCTCTTCCACCTCCTGCCCCTGCTGCCACCCCCATGGCACCTCTGTCGCCCGGCCCCACACGGACCCCGCGGCCACACGGACGAAGCGACACGACGTGGCACTTGTCTCCCAGTGAGGTGGCCGAGGCGTCGAAGCGCTGCCGAGAGCCCAGCTCCTGTGGAGAGATTCTGGTCGACACACGGCGATGGTGGACTCGCTGGTTTCGGGTGACGCTACGGCAAGAAATGGAGCGAAAAGCCAGATCAAAAGTAGCAGTCAGAATGGGAAAAAGGATTCATCATGATTCATCCATGGGGAATATCAAAGTCTCCTGATCACCAAAATTTCAACAGTACATCAGGGATGTAGAGAGGGTGTACTATTTATCACCCTGGTGGTGGCTTAAGCCGGGGCATGTAGCCAATGATGTTCACAACGTTGGGTTAACCCCTGCCCTGTCCCAACCGAACCACCGACCCCATCAGCCTGTTGAGGTCGGGACTGGGGTTTGGAGAGTCACGTCGGAGAGGAACCTCTAGTTGCAAATGATCCGCAAAAGATCTCAGAACTGTACCAGTACTAGCCATGTTTACTAGCCTTCTGAATCCTTCTGACCTCTGAAAAATCCATCTTTTGTGGCTCGCGAATCGACCCAGCAAGTCAAGTTTGGAAGACTTGGACTGGAGCAAATCAGGAGCTTTGGCCAGTCCAAATGTGGATGACACAGCTTGCTACAGTACCTGGAGTCTTCCAAGCAAATCCAACGGCCCAACAGCAAATAAGTCAGCTGTTTCATCCCCACAGCTCCATGCAAGTTCAAAGATCCCGCCCATCGTTGCCCTTTAATTTTTCATATATATATATACACTAATCTTCAAAGGCTAAGTTTAACTTCGACGTTGTTTCTGTCTATGTTTAACCAGGTTAAACTTCGTCGTTCTGCGGAGTCTGTTCTGTTTAAGACAACTAACATGAGTAAAACTTAGACGCACTGAGGTGTACAAGTTTAACTTCGACGTTTCTCATGGTAATCACAGAATCATCATTTTAGGTCATGACGCTTCCGCGCTTCGGCGGAAAACCGGCCCCCGCAGTCCGAGGAGGTGGCGGACAAGGTCCGGCCAAAGGGGCGCCTCAAATGACTGACTCGGCGGAGTGAGGCGCCCGTGGGTCGAGTCGTTGGTGGGGCCAAGGTCGGGCCATGGGGCGGTCTGGGACCGATCGGTACCGGTCCAAAACCGAGGAACGTGGTCTTCTTTTGGATCTTCGAGGTCAGAGCTCCATTCTCCCAAAGAGGTCAAACCCTGTTGAAACACCCATTTTTGGATGGTGCCATCCACGTCCGATTCCACGGGGCTCAAAGATGCTCAAAGAAACTAATATTATATACCTATAACTCCGTCTTAACCTGAAAGGAACTGTAAAGATCCCACAAACCATGGACCAGGACCCTCCCCCAACAAAGTACTCCACGCCCCTCTGCTAGTCGGGTCGACGCTCCAGGCAGCGGCATCCGCAAAGCTGCAGCTCGATGGAAACAAAGCAGTTGCTGCATGTGTGCAACGTTTCCATGTGCCAGCTGAACAAGGTTTTCCCCCTGTTTTTCCCGCTGTAATTATATGAAATAACGTCTTTCCATCAGCGTAGCAGCACTCTTTTCTCTCCTTGTAGAAAGCAAGCATTGCAAGCCAGAACAGGCGCTTGTTCACCTCTATCAGTTCTTCAATCTTCCATCATGCCACTCCAGGAATACCGAACATCTGCACGGAAACTCATCTGGCTGTGGGTCCAAGCACCCATGCAGAATGAGTTTGACCCCCCAGGCCACGAACAGATGTCAACTTGTCAACCGAAACCATGGTTTCGCAGAGGGAGTTTTGGACTCACAGCCTTCAAGAACAAATTGCAAACCTTCAACCTTCCACACCTTTGTGACCATGTTTTCATCCAACCAAACCAAAACGGATCAGCCATGCATCGGCCCGAGGCGCCCCTTCAACGTGGCGGACAGCGTGGCGGAGCACCGGGCCCGGAGCACTTCATCCTCGGCCGGCCGAGGACCAGGAAGTCTCGAGGAACACTTCGAGGTGGGACAGTGCTGTGTTGTAATTTGGAGAGTCTCCAGCATTCAGGTTAAGCGGACGTAGCCGCTGTGGAATGGGACCGTGTTGACGGAGAAAAAGATGGAAGCGGTCCCAAGCCATCGCGTCGCCATCAAATCGAGTGGTGAATCGTCTGGTTTATGGTTTGTAGACCCCTGCGTTTTGGGTGGCTGCAGTGGTGGTTTGATGCGGGAACTGCCGACATGCCCCCGGCTCTGCACTTTTATATTGGCTGGAGACGAGTTCCAGCGACAAAGACTCTGTGCACAAAGAGATTAGAAAAGTGCAGAACCGTGGCATGATGTTATGAACTCTGCATGGCAATCCTCTTAATAGAGTGAGGACATATCATTAACATACGACAAAGAGATAAACATATGTTGTGCCAACAATGCCGAGGAACATCACTGATTGACAAATCAACATGATGAAGTTCGCTTCTCTGGCTTGTTGTGAACAGGTGTATTTTTGTCTGTCTTCAATGGTCTTCATGTTTTTTCTTGTATAAACAACGCCTCCGAGTGAACCAACCCTTTGGCGAGCTCGGACAATGGTCGCCAATAAATACATACGGCCAAAGAATCGATGACATCATCTCTGGGTGTGTATTTCAATAGGGAGATCCCCAAGCAATCATAGGTATAGACTGGTCTTATATATTTCCGTTCACCGAACCCTTCCGGGGGGTCGAACGGGACCGCCGGGGGTCGGTCTCCCTGTTTCGCTATACACACCCATCTGACATGCACCAAACCCCCCAAATCCTCTCGCCATCATGATAATCATGATAATACTTCTTAGTATGCCCTTCTCGTCCATAAAAATTCCAAGAACGGTGGTTTTTCCGTTCCAACGCCACCGTCCTCGCTGTTCCATGGACCCCTGGTGCAACGGTCCCCCGAAGCGCTGCGCAGGTCCCCCGACCGCATCTCGAGAGCCACCCCTTTGCTGCCTATAGTCGGCGGCTGGTCGTGATTTCCGTGGGAAGTCCAAGGGGTCCAAGGACTTGCAAAAGACCCTTTCGATCCCTTTAGACCACCCAAGATGGGCCCCAAGATCAAGGACATGCCATGCCGAAGCTTCAGCTCATGACAATTGGTTAGTTATCAAAGGACGATGATCAAGTAACAAATATATGCCTGGACCGGACCTTGATCTCGGGGTGTCCTGCCTGGAGATCCACATGGTTTCTGCAGGGTCTTCCAGCCCGAAGACCCCCGAGTTCGGTGCTAAGCCCAAGGAATCCCTGTCGAAGCCGTGGAAGGATCGACGCCCGCCGTTGGATTGACTTGGCACTGACATCCCCCCAAAGAACATCATGCATCCACTCCCTGGATATATCATGGTGGAAGTGGATAGCATGGCCTCTTGGATGACCAATTTTCCTCTACCAAACAGGTGGTGTTGCGCTGCCCAATGGTGATTCCAGGGGAGTGTCATGCAGCATGCATAAACATCCCAACACACACGTCTGCGAACCCCCCCCCCCACTTGCTTTGCAGCACTCCCCGCCACGGCTGGGCGGAAGGACATGGGATTCCACTCGCTCACACCGTGTTTCGGAAGGTGGGGGAGTTCTTGGGATTCCCACCGGCGGGTTTTGGAAGTCTGGATGTGCATGTGTCTTTCTGCCTCTCTCGCTCTCCCTCTCTCTCTCTCTCAGATCGTTTCTTGGTCCTTACATGTCCTTACATTGCATGAGGTTCCGATTGAGCCCCAAAGCCTGTCCGATGGCCCATGGATCTTCCGTTATTTCAAGAGAACTTCACTTAACCAAACGTATATACAAGTCTGCCTCGCACATGGGTATAAACATCTTGGACTCGGTGAACTATTCATACTCCAAAAACAAACAACAATAACAACACACACAAATGATAATACCACACACACACACGCACATTAACACCATATTGTTATCCATAGCGTTCACATGTTCGATCCTTGTTCAGTCCTTTCCCTTGGATACCCGCCTCCAGCGTGCCAGGTTGCAATCCTCTCCGCTGTCCAAGTCTTGTAGACTCCTCGAAAGGGCTTAACGCTCCAAACCAAATGCGACATCAACATCGCCACGACTTGCAAATCCCAAATGGAAACGCTTCAAAAACTAGAACATCACCACCACTTCAACATTTGATTTTAGGGCCACTTGGCAATTGGCCTGTGAGAGGTCTACAATCTGTGGATGGTATGTGGATGGTGAGTACCAAAGCAGTCGTTCCTGGTCATTTCATCCTTGCTTTTTGCGGTCATTTGTCCACAACTACAGTAAATGATCCATGTGTCATCAATCCACTTTGGGGGTCTCAAAATGGAACTTACAGTGCGACTGAAACCGAGGTAATTATAAGGCGTAGACGGAATGCGTTGGCGGGTAAGCCATGTCCGTCAGCCATGTCTTTCGTCAGCCCGCCTCCACCGGTTCAGCGTTTCCACGGGCAGCAGGGTGCCGTATCCACAGCCACCTCGTTGAGGCGCAGTGACCGATGCCGCACCTCACCTGAATGCCCAGTTAGGTGAACTACAATTAACCAGCTTTTAAAAGGTGCACTCCCGGAAACAATCATGGAAGTGACAAATGCACCCTTGGGATGACCATTTTTCCCCTTCAGACAGGGAATTGTCCACGTAACCATGATTATTTCAGGGAGTGTACCCCCAAAGAAAGGTCATTGCTTGCCACTACACTTACAACTTCCGGGGGATGGGCAGTCAAGCTGAGTCGCTACTTAGGTGGTTGCGACATCGACATCTGCTTTTGAACGTCGTCCAACTCCTGTTACACTTGACATCTTCCAAAGCTTCTATGTCTCTGGTGCTTGCAGAACATACTGTAGGTGATGTGCAAGGCTAGACAAATCACAAAGAAGAACACCCACCCAAGAAAAAACGATTGTAACGAAAAAACATGGTCCAAAACAAAAACAAAAACATCAAACAATCGTGGTCTTTGGATTTCCGGGGTTCCTTGTTTTCTATCTGTTTCTTGTCCCTGTGAATCAGCGAATCTTAGAACATGGTTTTGAGTTTGTTTCAAGAGTCCCGCTAAAACAGTCACTATAGTTCAACTTCTCAAACAGAACGTATCCAAAAAACTATGTTATGACCGTCCAAACATGTCGCAACATGTCTCTTCAACGCACAGCGCCACCCTGGCACCACCGGCCGGCCTGGCACCGGCACGGAGACTTGCCGCTGGGAGAGCGCGATCGAGGCACGGCTGAAGACCTGGGTCTCCCCGGCGTGGCGGCCGTGGCGGCCGTGTGCGACGACGGCGATCGGATCGGATCGGAGGGGCAGTGATGAAGGCCTTCGCCGATCGTTCAGCAGCAGTGAATGGCCCAGGGTCCAGGCTTAGCAGTGGAGTTGATCTGCTGCTTTCTGTGTGCAAGATGGGAACCTGTATCGAATGGACGTGTTCTCTGGAGAATCACACGGCAGTCTGCTGCTGCTGGTTGGCTGGGGGTTCCAACCACTTCCACTTCAATGTATACTAAAATCTCCTAAACATATCTAAAATATACTAAATGGAGTAAAAGGACCTGTGGAGATCAAAGAACCGCCTTCTTTCAACGACAAGTCCGATCTCTTCCTGGGTGTCCCCTGTTGAACACACCAAAACAAACATCGTCGATCCCACGATCCGATTGTTGAATCTTGGTGCTGCACGGTTCATCATGCAACGGCTCATCAAGGGGGAACTTTTGAAGTTGACACCGTGTTGACATAGACATTGAAAAAAACAATATTACAAAAATAAACATGGCAATCAGATCTGCACCTTTGGGAAAGAAAAGGGACTACACTTTGCACTAAAACATGTCACACGTATCATCTGAAATGCACCCAACAAACACGCTCACTAAGAAATATATATATTATATAACTATCATTTGAATCCTTTGAGATCCCCGGCCTACTACTCACTATGGGGTTGGATCCCCCTGGAAGAGGCTTTAAACAAAAATGGAAAAATAGAAAGGTAGGTACCCAAGACAGGCTTGACTCCAGCAGGACTGATTTCCTAGCCAGGTACCCTACCCCTCCCCATCCTAGCCAGGCTAACAGACCGGGGATCTTTGAGGCTCTTTTTATCAGTTGCAAACCAAGATGCCATGTCTCGGGGGTGACCTTTCTTGGTCTTGAGCGGAGGCCTTGGTGAGTCTTTGCTATTGAGCTGCGTGATGTCTTGATGTCTGGCTGACCCAGTGGGGAGAAAGCTGAACGTACCCCACTTCCAACAACCTGCTAATCAACAACAACACATGACGCACACAGAAACATCGGTTTCTCCCGCGCTGGTCTGCGGACGACCGCGCATGTTCGGACGGAAGAAGAGCTGAGTCGAGCGGAGTGAACACTGAGACGCACAGGAGGGAACCCAAGCCGGTTCCCAGTGGGCAAACTTCCCAGTCTTTCTTCACCAGCCCGATAGAATCGTCGTATAGAATCTGGCAACCGACATAGACCTGGACATGGATGGAACCGCTCTTTCTTCGACTTGAGACTGTAAACAGCTAAACGCCTTAGAACATCCCCACGGCATCCCACGTCTTCAATGAACTCCCAAAATGGCCAAGACCGCCAAGATGAAGCACCGTTCCCCTGTTGTACACAACAGAACAGTTCCATAGTCCATGGTGGGGTGCCTGAGTGTGAGGGTCGAAAGACGTCTGTGCAGTGTACGAAGGTAGACTCACTCTTGATCAATCCAACTCCATACGAAAAGCTTGCACAATCCCTTTTTTTGTGGGGGGGGGGTTAAATGCAAACCGTGCGTTGATCTGGCCGGTATGTCAGTAGCTTAATTACTCACCTACACTGGTACATCAGCAGCCATCCTCCCACCCGGTTTGTGAGCTCAGTCTCGCCCCGACCGTCTAGCCGCCGGCGACCGTTTGGGAGCCCCCAACGTGAGCTTGTCTGCTCGTTGACGCACCATGACCTGGAGAAAAGATCCCGTTTGATACAACACGGACACCTTCGTGTGATCCCGGTCATGGCCCCATCAGGCGAGGTTTGGTTGAGTTTGTATATATATATATACATACACACATTCCATCCTGTATGACATATTTACAGAGCATTATAGTACTAATACCTACATATTTGGTGCTGGAGACCTACATGGGGGGTGGTTGATTTCAGGCGTCCATGTGTAGTACGGATAAGTACGGTAGTTTTCAGAGTAGATGGCACTGGCACCTTGATTCATGGCTTTTTACTCTCAATACACTTGACCTGGAAGATGAACAGCTGAAAACCACTGGTTTGTCGAGGAAAACAAGACCTTCGACCCGGGTCCAGTTTTCGGGAGGATTTACAGTCCGCAGTGTCGAGACAGGGGCAGCCCGTCCGCTGCTCACTGCCCGTCCATGTCCGCTGTGACGATTCGCCAAGCTGCCCCCGCTGGACTGGAGATGTGGAGCCCTTTCAGGAGGAAGCAGCAGCACCGATCGATTGATTCGTATGATCCCCAATTCCCACGGTTTTATTTGTGGAACATGGCGATGGGATCAATGTGGATCTAAACCCGGAGACCTTGACTTTGACCACCGAGAGGAAGAACAGAATAGACTACAAGGGATCGTCAATCTACCAGAAATTAGGGGTTTGGGTTTTGACCCACAGCCAAATAAAGGTGAAGCGAACTTTTCACCTCTTCGTTTCGAGTGGGGTGACCCCTTCTCTTGCCCCTCGAAAGAAAATATGTTTTGCAGGTGATCCTTAAAGATCCTTAACGTAATTTTTGGTGAGGGACCTCACGTTTCCCCAACTGGAGAACGCCTTCCGCACCACCTAAACACACCTGGCCGACCTAGCCATGGGCAGGTCGCCATGGGGGGTCCAAGAGTTCCAAGAAGGAAGTTTGGCCGCCCCAAGGTTCCGTCAACTGCAAAGCCTTTCCCTACAGGTCAAAGGCCTTGTTGTACTGGAGTTGATCCTACAACAACACTACTCCAGGAGGTTTTCAGCACCAGGTTTCTACCAGGTCTTTTTTACACCATTTTTGGTTCAACAGGTGGTGTTCAGCACCTGTGTAGAGCACCAGGTCTTTTTACCAGGGCTTTGCTCTAGCCTTTGTCGCGGCCAGGATGCCCCGGGTCACACCCTTCCCTTCCGGCGCCTCCGGCGTGCGCCGGCCGTGCATGTAGTCCAGATCGCCCACGAAGAACCTGGCGAAGGACGACCAGGGGGGATGGACGATGGACGACCATGGCACGGGGCAGAATTTTCGCTTCACACATCATGTGTGGACCGCGAACCCAGGCCCCCTAGCAGCATCTTTTAGCTTCACTGAGACTCACGCCGCCGAACAAAACAATGTCAAAGCACTAGTTTAACATGGGCTAACATAGGTGATAGCGTCATATATATATACTATACTGTAGATTTCTTGGACGTTCGGCGGTCCGACATTGACCCTTGTTGCCAGACTACATCTGTTGGTAAGGTCGGTTTCTTGGCATTTGAAGGGTCGCCTGTGTTCAAGGGCAGTTGGATCATTGTATATTCGTATATATATACACACATAATATAAAGATCTCCGTTTTGTCCCATCCCCCATGTTCCCCCACCAAAACAAAAATAGACATCGGGAATTCACAAACATCTCACACCTTTTGACATACAAAGGGTTCGTCCAGAAAACAATTGGGTGTGGTCAAAACCCTTGATTCTTGGCATTCAACAAAACCTCGTTGATGAATCAAGGCCCTGAAGGGGTGTGCATTTGTGTCAGGTTGAACCAGGTTGGGCCTGAGGTTCAGACTCCACAACACCACCAGCAGCATGAAAGGGATGCTTAATGGAGGATAGGGGTGCCCATTATCCACTCAGATAGGGACTAAACACCACCCCTTTGTGACTCCAGGTACTTTGAGGGTATATAATGTATATATATATATATATATAAGCAAGTATCATAATAACAAGCAAGTGACAATTTGAGGATTTGGTGAAGAACATAACGGGTGGACCTAAAACCGTTGCCAAACCCATGCCATACCTGCAATTTACCCGTACTATAGCCTGTACTTATTTGGAATAAGTTACCTCGGATCGTGCACAAACATGTTGTTCTCGCAACCCTAAACCCTAAACCCGTGCCATACCCGTACTTGACTCATACTAACAGGTATATTCAATGGGCCTTGTTGCTGCCATCATGGGAGTCTTTCCGATGGGTTCAAGGTTGAGAAATTCAGTAGCACATCGCCTGAATTCATGATCTACTGTGGGCGAAATGGTGAGACAGGATGAGAAGGGGGTGAATGAAACATACTGAAAGACCTTTCTGTTCATAAAAACCGGGATTGCATCGAAAAACATATAGTATCATAGTTCACTGACCCCATTTCAATTAACGATGAGTTTTGTTCATTAAAAATAAGATCATATTAAGGCCCTATCCTCTCAAATCTTCCTCTTCCATTCCCGGAGGGGGCCGCTTTCACCTGCTTTCCCACCACATCGCCGACTCCAACATGTTGGACCGAACCCACGACCTCCGAAACACGACGTCCTTCACGGCGAAAACGCCCAAGACCCAAAACAACATACACAAATTCCCCAGACACTCCATGGGACTGCCATATATGCCGATCAATTGGGGTGGTGAAAGCGGGGTCATGAGGGGTCAATTGATCGGCATATATGGCAGTCCCATGGAGCGTCTGGGATTGATGGAAAAGTTTTATACAGTAACCAAGCCCGTACCCCCCCTCTCTCTCTCTCTTTATTTGCTTACCGCACCAGTCTCGGCCATTGCCATAGGGCCAGTAGTTGGTCCCCGTGATCTTCCGAAGTCCATACGCCTCGCGGCATCGGCAGAGCGGCGGTGACCACGCACACGTCACCGCCGCGGTGACCGGTCGTCCTTTCGTTCGGTCGTCCCAGCTTGCCAGTGACCCTGTTGGTCCAACAAAAGGGGAAAACATCGGGAGATACCCAACCGGGTTTGGGTCTATGAATTTTTTCTTCCAGCAATCGAATTGGGAGGTATTATATTTATATATTATATAATCCATATATAGTTTAATACACACTCATCGGTGATTCTTACAATCTTTCACATGTCCACCGGTCCCCACATTGATAAACCCGCCAGCTTGGCCATGGACTGCGGTGCATTCACCGCGCTCGCATCTTCGGCGAGGGAATACAACGCCAAAGGGCTGCGGGTGAAGGCATAGTGCATTGGGTCTATCCGAGTCTACCAGCGCCCAGTGGATGATGATGGAGCCTGTAACCAAGGCCCCGTTCAGAAATAGTGATATCGTTTGCTGTTACCTGTTACAGGTCTATCCACGGAGAAACCCAAGTAATGCCAGTAATGCCAGTAATCCCTGTACTCCCTGCAGTCCAGAGTGTTGGTGAAAAAAAGCCGACCGGACCCGGGGACCCAGGTGGTTCGATGAGGAGTACGACGTTCGTCAGGCCTGACGTCCCGACTTGCGACAAGTCCATGAAGGCTAACTGGAGGGTATGTGGAGAAAGGGGGGGTTCATCAAAAATGGCGAAAGTACGATGCTAAGTTAGTGCATCAACAAATTACCTTCCACAAAGTTCTGCGATGTTTTCTGGGTGTTTGTTCTGGTAAGTTTTCCTACTGGCCACCATTCCACGAAACATCCACGAATAGCCCTGGGTTCAACGAATGTTCCGGGCCTTCCACAAAGTTAGTAGAATAGGTTTGTGCAACACCCTTTCTGTGCACTACCCCTTACCCTTGGCCTCTGAAATAAAAGGTGAACCTGTCTCCACCTCTTACATTTAGTGGGGAAGCTGTGCAAAGCCAATCCAATGAACAGTCAGGTTGTCAACTTTTTACAGGGTGGTGGATAATTGTGTGGCTCAAATGGAACACCCACAAAGACCCGCATGGGTACATTGATGGGCTTGCATGATGGTACCTTTTGAATCCATTGCTCCAATTTGCTACATGAACCAGTGTCAGAATCCCTGCTTGGCTTAGATGAATTGGAGATCCTCTTCATCACCTCCCATTGCGGTCTGTCCTTCGAATGTCCCCTGTTAGGACAAGACGCGCATCACTGCGGACGCTCATGGTCTCACAGCGGAATTTGTACAGTGAAAAGTGAACCAAGCAGAACCACGACCACACAAGAAATCAAGAGGATCCAACCAAAGGGATCTCCCAAGAGGAAAGTAACTTCGAACAGCCAGCGTCCATCAACTGAGCTAAACCACGAACTTCATCGGGAGCAAAAAACGGAACGGCGCCCACAATCGCACCTTGAGGAAACGATCGGCCCTCCGATTTCCTGGTTTGCAAACAAGTGTAACCGGGAAACACCTGGTGGTCAGGAATTTTGCCGATGTGGACAAAGATCCTGCGCAGCCAAAAGGATAGGTCCCGAAAGGTGACATCGTCGCCACAGCATGCTTCAAGGGTGTATCCGCGTTTCTGAAATAAAAATGCCAGTTCCATATAGGAAGTGCAAAAAGCTTCACCAACTTTCCATGCCAAGTTCCGAGCAAAACCAATAAAGGTTTCAATGTCGGAAGGAGAATGCTGGGAAAACCACGGGCCTGAAATGTCTAAGACATGCTCAAAGCGCCATGGAAAATCAACAATGTTCTGATTCCATTCCCAACGAACAAATTTCCTTTGAAGGGAAGTATTGTCGTCACAAGCAGAAATCTCATCAACAAGTACCGTCGCAGGAACTTCCGGAGTAGACAACTCGTTCAATCGAGCCAGAAAAAACTGTCGTGCAAAAATAGCCTGTTGCATCTGTGAAAACATCTGGACCTCTACTGGGAGAGAGGCAGCAGCGATCCGCTTGGCTGCTTGATCAGCCTTGCGGTTACACAAAATATTCTGTACTGTTGTTCCATGTTCGGCAGCGAAAGCTGGAGAAATGAGAAAATCAGGGATGTCATCCCCGACGTGTGAAGGGATCCAGAATAAACGCACCGGTTGGCATCCATCAACATCCCGTGAAACATAAATCTGCAAAATGGCTCTCCACCAGCCAGCATGTGTCCATGAGGAGTCAACACTGCGCTGAGCAATGAGCAAATTGAATTGGTCGACGACAGATTTGCAATCAGAAAAAATGTCAATGTTGTGTGTAGCGTGCAAGCATGCTCTGTATACAGCAAACAACTCCGCAGTGTACGAAGTCAAGACAGGGCAGCAAACTCTTTCTGAATGAATGCAAATTCCTCGCTCATCGACCACGCTACAACCTGCCGTGGTAAGCCAAAATGACTCAGGAAAGAAAACAGAACCGTCCGTCCACAAAGAAGCTCGAGGTGCATGTGGGTCGTGTACAGCACACACGTCATCATGAATGGATGTGAACTGCAAACGGTGCTTACAGATTCCAATCGGGTGCTCACAGACTCCTAGCATGGCGAAGTTTTCACCAAATTCGTGACAAGGAGGTTGAGCGAGGGGAAGAGCATCACACTCAAAGATCCAATGTGGCATAGATTCCGGTTTTCCAAGGCAAAACCTACAAAGGTTAGAGTCGATTAAGTTTGCAGCACACAAGCGGTCGTTCGTGAGTGTACAGCCAACAACCTGTGAGTCAAAATAAGGCAAGAGATTAGTTTCATTCTGAGCTGTTGAGTATCTTCGGCGAAAGGTAGCAGTCAGAAAGGGGTCAATGAAGCCCTTTGGTTTGTTAATGTCTTTGCGTTTTTTGGTCGGCAGCTCTTTCATAGCAATACTGGACGGCAAGAACTTGCAGTAAGCGTCTAAGCTCGCGAACCCCAACTTCGAGGGGAGGAATGACAATGTCATAAAAGACAAGTTCAAGCTTGGGAGACAATGACAGGTGAAAAAGCGAAAGGGCTTGCTGCACTTGTGATAAAAGACTATGCTTTGGTAAGTCAGGACAGGCTAAAATGCGGCAGCATTGGGCCACTCGCCCTGGTTGAGAATGAATACAACGCCAAAAATTTAGGATACAGTTGTATGCACGAACGCAAACAGGTTCAACCCGGTGAGGGATGGAAAGCAAAGCAAAAACCAACATCTTAGATCGCCAATGAGGCCTGGAGCCCCAGTACACAGAGACAAGTTCATTCTGAATACGCTCAAGTAAGCGCTTGGGGATCTTAGAAATCTGGGTTGCAAAGGAAATCTGAGGGAGGACTTTAGCTCCCAAGAGATCAGTTTTGACCTTCATTGAAACCGGCAGATTAGAGATATTCTTGATGTCAGAAATGACCTTACTGCATTTGGCAGGGTCAAACAAAAAGGAATTACGATCTGATGTATAGATCTTAGCACCTAAAACATCGAATTCCAAGGAAAGGGCCAACTGTGGAAAAGCTTCCTTTGCAAGAGATCTGGCATTGGCAGACGTTGCCCAAAGAACGCTCTTTTGGTGGTTCAAATGTTGTCCCACCATGAGTCCCCACAGCTCTGTTGTGCGAAGAGCTTGCTGCAACAAATGTGAATTCGTGACACGCACCCACATGTACGCATCGTCAATAAAGACACGACAAGTGATATCGTGAAAACGTTCAATGAAGCACGCCCAAACATGCATATGCACGTTGATAGCAAGAAGTGACAAAGAGCAACCCTGGGCAACACCATTAGCGTTTGTCACAGGGATATGTGAGATCCAGTTACGGTAGGACAGGTGCTTCTTCAAGCCACGATACATCATGGAAAACATATTTACCATACCCTTAGGGAGGCCCAGAGCTAACATGAGAGCAGCGGTGATCGGCGGGACAATACGATCAAAGCATTTGGACTGATCTAACTTTATGCCAATGAGATGCTGGTTGTCGACTTTGGCCGAGTCGATGTCCAAGCGAAGCCCATCGCTCACTGCAGCCATTGAACGCCCTTTGATCCCACCGAACAGCGACGGGTGGAGCGTAGTTTGCTGCCACTGCTGGAGCTGGCGAAACCGAGTCCCTGAGTATGCGAGCAAGAGTGGCGATAGGACCGTTATGAGTCTTTTATTTAAGGGTGAGGCTGGTCCAGGCTTATTGAGCAGGGCTTGTTTGGCACGAAGCAAAACATCGGGGATTGAGCCACCACAATCATTTTCAAGCTGATTGAAAAACACTGCAATTCGTTCAAGGCACGTCTTGGGTAGCAACTGGAGTTCAGTTGTACGCCACCCGTCCATGCCCGGTGATGCGAGTGGATTGCGAGATCCAATCGTCATGGCAAGATCAGCGGCTGTAAGCTCAGGCAAAGCTACAGGAGTGGCAGTGTGTTGTACATAAGGCCACACAAAGTTCAAAACCCTGAGGGGATCTTCATGCAGTACATTGGAGGCAAAGATGGAATCCCACTGGAGATTAACATGGTGCAAAGCCTCGGACGGTTGATAGAGAATATTACCGGAGGAATCAGTGACTAAATTGACTGGCTCATCAATAGACTTGGTCTTTAGATGGTGGTATATGTACTTCTTTGTTGAACTAGCCGAGTGTTTGACCTGAGAGCGCCAGGCATTGATTCTCTGCTGTTTCTTAGTAAAATCCCAATTCTGCAATTGCACCTGAACCCACTGCCGACAACGGGCGACCTCGAGGAGGGAAGGTTCAGTCGGGATGAGCCAAACATGAGGGCACTTAAGGCTTTGAAGTGACCTACAAGCTTTCTTGGATGTACGTTGCAAGATGTGCAAATCCGCAAGGCTTGAGGCTGGTCTCTGCAGGCGGACGAAAAGCTCATCAAGACGAGAAAGAGCATTCTGTAACCACGAAGCTTTGAGCGAAAGCGCAGAGCCGGATTTCGCTTGACCTGGACAAAACTGTTTGTATTGAAAAAGGGGGAGTGCCCCTCGTTTTCGTGGACCATGGCCCCAGTGTGCACCAGAAGACAAAAGAGTCTGGCAACAAAAGTCATTTAAAGTGTTCCACTTCTGGTCGGTGTGAGGATGTTGTGCATAAAGCCTAGCAAAACGGGACTCCCACAAAAAATCAGCAACCTCATTAGAGGGATGAGTCGGATCAAGACCGGGCTTATCAAGAGAGTCGGTAACAAGCGGAGCAAACTTCTGATGGACATACCCATGCTGCCATATAGTAGGCCAAGAAAAGGTTGCACGAACAGGGCGGTGTTGCGAATCGGAAGTTTGAACAACCTCAATCGACTGCAATGCACATGAAGCAACTTGGTTGACAAGAATACCGTCAATTGAAGAGCAAAAGTCACCATGACCTGAAAAAGTACTATCTTTAGAGTAGGTCAATGGCCGCAAGGACTCACCTGAGTCGTCTAAAGTAGTCAGGGGATCAAACCAATTGTGGAAGTTCACCGCGTTCGAGATGCTGGGATAATGCAAAGGAGG